AGCTAATATATTTAACACAAATAACATATTCGGCGATGAAGAGTCTTCAATTATGAATCAGAATATGCCTATTTCTTTTTTTATAATCTCAATAACACAGAATCGTATTATGAAAAGTTTAAACCACAATCTAAACAGACATCAAGCGAAGGTCATAGAAATTCGGACTTTGAAGCATCGAATATTGTTGACGAGATCTTAGGGATTAAGAACGATAATAATTAGTAATAATTGGCTTTAAAAAAACTATACAATATAATGCCAAATCATACTAATTAAATATAATATATATAGTTTTTTTTATTGATAGTTTTAACAGCTTTCACGTTTTTACCTAAGTTTTATTCGATAGTTTTTACGTTTTAACTTAACCTATCACGTGGCTGGTTTGTACTTTTATCAAGAGTATTCTCGGCATCTTCAATGCTAACCCTAAATTTTAATAGGGGTGGTTATTTTTAACCACTGGCACAAATTACAACTTTAATTTAGTATAACTATTTGTAAATGTTTATGCCGCTACGTTCAAAAATATTGCATAAAATGACTAAATTTCATTCAAGACATGAGTAACGGACTCGCAAATTATTTCGTCTTATCAGGCCCAGCTATATGATTTTTAGGTTTTTCCTTTGCTGTTCTCATAAATTCAGGAACAACTGATAATAATGATTCGATAAGTCTTTGACTTCGGAATGATCGATATATAATATTTATATGATATTTATAAAATGATTTCATCAACGATACTTTATTTCTTTTTGTATTATAAAGGATGGAAGTTGTTGATGCCGTAGATTATCTTACTTTATGTGAGTAAAATATAAAAAGAATTTAGAAGAAGGCAGTCTTACGACCTTGACAAATACATACCATATTTATTAATAAACAAATTCATTTATCATGAACAAAATATCTTTGAAAATATATTCTAAATACGATAACATTATTACTGTAAAGTCTCAGCATGCTGTATAAGTCTATAAAATTTTGAACCAGTTTCACTACGTATCTCTTTTTTAAAAAAACTAAATTGTAAATTCTTGCATTGTCTATTATTTTGAATTAACATTTATAAATTCGCTGTATATCAAGTAGAGATGGCAAATGATCTTAAAAAAACATGACTGTTTGGTTTAAAATAGTTTTTAATACATTTTAAACCATTTGACGCAATCATTGTTACCGTAAAATTATGACGCAATCATTGTTACCGTAAAATTATGACGCAAATTCAATATGATTATAAAATCAATTTATTTTAGCGTTAGTAAAAAAAGTTTAAATTTAAATTAGCAGTTTTGCATCTTAAATGCAATGCATTTTTAAGATCTTTATAATTATAAATGCTTTTAATAAATATGATAATTTAATAAAAAAAATTTTTTCCGCATGAAAGATATTATGGAACTTCCGGTACAGAAATTAACCAATCAAAAACAATTATTTCAGTCTCGAACTCGGTTAAAAAAAAAACACACAAAAAACGTTTTTTTTTTTATTTTACCATCCCTAACATCAAGATAGATAGATGGTTGAATAATACTGTATTCTCAATTTATAAAAAGGACTTGCTTCGTTAACCAGTAAACTTTAAGCTATTTTTATCGATATTATACATGATTAATTAGTTAAACTTTATTAATATCAATATAATAAGTCCACTAACTATTTGAACCTAATCACCGATTATTTAGAAATTCAAAAATGAAACATGACGACTCCGAATTGACAGGAGTCAATAAACAACGTAATGGCTCGTTTGAGAACGCATTATGATTCAGATTATAATGACATCCAACAGCTGGTTATACCATCAAAATCACCTTTTTTAAAATTTCAATCTATATATACAGTACTTAGTATGAAAGTGCTTCTGGTTAAGCTTGTATCTATTGGGCAATTGAGGAGTTTCGATATAACCAGAGTTATGTGATTTCTGATCTATTCATATTCTCCCGGTGTAGTTGTAGTAGTTGAATCTTTATTTAATTGTGATTTTTTAATTGAATTTTCGTCCGCACTGTATTATGATTCTGCAATTTGGTAGTTCAATATAGTGATCTATTCTTTTAACGACATTTGTATTCAGATTTCGATTTCCTTGAAGTGATCGATTCTTGAGATTCATCCTTCTCGGAGTTAATTAAGTAGTAAAAGCTTTTACAGCAGCTGTTGGTTCGTAATATACTCTGTTTTTGATTCAGGCTTCCAATCTCTAAATTATTTGTCTTAATCTTACATTTTTATTGCATCTACCAGGCTACTTTTCGGTTGTGTCATTAATTAATCTTTTTATGGTTCCTTCTTATTTTGTTATCTTCTTGAATGTGCTTATTACCATTTTCAGGATATGGTTGTCTTTCGGGGTATTCGTCAGCTAAAGTCGCCAAGTAATATTCACTATTTGGTACTTTTTAGTGGAATTGTGTTTGTAAGTGGTGCTGTTCATGTAATATTTTAAGAAATTCTTATTTTTCTGAAGTTAAATCTCCAAATACTTCAAGAGATGATATTTATATACAGATAATTCTATTGTGATACTGAATATTGAGTATGTTAAATGTAAGCCTATCTCTCTTCTTGCATTCAAATGTAATTAATAAATATATCTTATTGTATGGGTATATTGAATAACCCAGTTACACACATGAGTTCATATTTAAGTCCCGTGCCTTCGACACTGCATATTTAACTAGGTTATTCACTACATACCCATACAATAATTATAATTTATTCTAAGGAAAGTCCGCTTAAGCAATAGAACTCTCCATATGAATTCATAATAATTCTACGCTTTCCCGAATCACTGGTCAGATTCGACTCCAAAAGTCGAAGATTAGTGTTTTCATGTAATGTTATAAACTGCTAACCAACCAATCACATGAATTTTGCACTGCCTTAAACATTTCCGTAGACTTAAGAAGTTTTTTTTCGGTAATGGGCGATTTTTTGAAAAAGCTGGCAGTTTGTTTTACACCTGATCCTGTGTCGTAATTGGTTTAAAGTCATGTGTCCGCGGACATTTATGCGGTTACTACGATATGTATAATAAATTAGTATTGCTCTAATAAAAAAATCCTTTGTATACATCATTGTTTTAATGAAATCTATTGGTGCAGATTTGTCGGTACAACTGGAATAGCTAATTCAGCTAGTCCTCCAAGGCCTCTTGAGTTTAAAGTCAAATTAAAAAGTACAGATTATGTTTTCATATCCTATCCATACCCTAAGATATGTTTGTGAAAAAAATAATGAGCGTTTATATGAATTAGGATCGTGTGCTTCATGACTGTTCTATTGTATTTATCTTTTCCTCAAGCCTTAATATCTTTGCGTTGCTGTATCGGTATTATTATTAAGGGTAGAGTGTAATCTATAATAAAAAATTTATAGTAGTTTATGCAAAAAAATTATACGATATATAAAAATAATTTTTAACAAGCTAAACTATTTTTTATGTATTAAGTAAAGTTATTCGCAATAACAAATTACATATATCTTGAAATTTTTATTAAAATCGATTAAAATTAGCAAAAGTTTTTATATTAAAAACATTCGCTAATAAAATATATTATATAGAGTTTCACCGGTAAATTTTGAGTTTCACCGGTAAAATTTCTAAATATAAAAACTTTTGCTAATCTTAACCAATTTTAATAAAAATTTCAGAACATATGTAATTTGTCATTGCGAATAACTTTACTTAATATATAAAAATTAATTTAATTAATAAAATTTTATCTTTTATATGTAACAACTATTTGCGATTTGTAAAATTAATTTGTAGATCATTTCTATAAATATTTTATTATGCGATACACTCTACCCTTAACATTAAAAATTTTTCGTTCATTTGACAAATTTCATTGGCTGAGTTTCTAAACACAAAATGGCATTAAGATATTATAAAAATAAAAATTTTGAAATTTTTTAATGCGTATTTATTTAATCTATAATTATACTGTAAAAAATTTATACGTACGTACGTACGTACGCACGTAGCATATATCTTAAGTGATATTGCCGAGTTTAGGTACGTACCACACATCCTTATTATAAATTTATGAATAAAATTTATTCAATAAAAAAAAAAAGATTTTAGCTAATTTTCACCCATGGTGATATCACCCGGCATTATTAAAATAAATTTACATGTAGTTAAAATAGGGTTAGGCATAAGCTAAAGTTAGGTTAGAGTTTGAGTAAGAGGATTTATATATGTAAAATTCAAAGCTAAAAACTTTTGCTTAGAAGTTGAAATATAGTTTTCATAATAAAATTTAGAGTTATTAGTTTTTTTAAATTTTTTCTTTTCTTCGCTTTGTTTTGGTTACACAAGATCTAGTGATCTAATTGGTTTTTATACAACTAGGTGATATCACCTAGGGTGAAAGTTAGCAATACTCAAAAAAAAAAATAATAATAAAATACAGGAAAAGATCCTACGTAATAAAAAAAAATGAATAAATAAAATATATGAAAACGTCCTAATAAAAAAAAAAAATGAATAAAATACATGAACGTCCTGATAAAAAAAAAAAAATTCTAAAAAAAACCAGGTTACATTACTTGTACAATTTTGTGTACCGAATCTAAGTCTTAAGATTTTTAAGTTTGTCATACATGTATAAGATATTTGGAAATGTCTAAAGCACGTACGTACGTAGAATCAAGTGATATTGCAAAATATGTTTGTCATACATGAACCTTCTATGTAGATTTCAAAAATCTTAAGTGGCCTTCACTGCCCACTAAAATGGATTAAATTAGTATTAATTCAATACATTGATCTACACGTTTGCATTTATTAAGGAATACAAAGCAATCTTTTTGAAAAATATTTACTATTCATAACATTATGATAAGGTCATAACATTATGATAAGGTTTAAAAAATAGTATATCTTTTTCACGATATTCGCCAATGTCGAAATTAATTGCGATCGTCATAAACTCTCTCTCATAATAATTTCCCTTGATTTTCCTAAGATTCCTAAAATGGACATCAGTAAACCCCTCAAGTTCTCCGAAATTTTTAATTCTTTTGAAAATTCACGTGATTCTGTTTTGCCCTCCGGTTCAGAAGATTTTATCATTTCCATAGGTCCACACGGTTCTTTTCTTGATTACGGTTCTTCTGCGGAATGTTATTGTGATCAATGTAGTGGCTGTCGTATTCCGCTTTACACTTGTAAGGGTGAGAGTTGTAGGGTTAAGTGTCCCCCTCATACTAGAAAATGTTCTGAATGTGCCGGTCACAACTATTCGGCCAGGCATATAACTAATCAAAAGTATTACGATAGTCGGAAATCCCGCATAAATTCTGAGAGGTCTATTTCTTTTGAAAAGTCTTTAATAAATAAATCATCTGATTCTGTCGTTGATAAGGATTTATCAGAAATCTGGAATAATACTTGGTCGGAAGCTCTTGAACATTTTCCATAATTTCATGCTATATATATTTTTTTATTTCATGAATTTCTATTGACTTGGCCAATTTTCTCGAAATGTTTCTATGGAGGATCCCTTGTTCGATTTTTTATTTTCTGTGTAACCATGGTTAACCTTTTATAGGAAAACGTTAAAAGTTGGTTATTTTGATGTAATTAGTAGTTTATTTGCATATAAACATCAAGAATAGAAGTTATGCTATATGTAGATCATATGTAAATGACTTTGTGTTTATGAATAAGTTACGAATCCTTTAAACGTTAAAATTTTAAGAATTTTAAGTTATTCTTTTTGCTAAACATTTATTTTATTCACTATATATCGGTATTATATACCTACTCCTATTTTCACATAATAAAGTAAAGCGTTGAATTATTTTATATCTTCCTTAAATTGGCATATGCTTCGCGTATGTTTAATATTTTGACGAGCTTCAAACACCTTTTATTAAATAGTTTAACGGTATAAATTCATTCATGCTATAGAAAGTATAATCAGTTTGTGAAATAAGGTTATTTAAAGATCTTCGCTAAAAACTTGACAGTTGAGGTAGAGAATATTTACAAATATAATAATTAATAAAACACAGCATAATCGCTTTGAATACTGATATTTCACAATTATTAATACGTTCGCTTTGGTAATTACTTAATTTTCATAATATTCAGTCACAGCTTAAATCCGAAATAAATATAGATTTATTACGAATCTATATAATTATCATGAGTGATTTTGATCGATCTATCGAGCTATATTTTGAATTGTAGACTACATTCTAACGTTGCTGCATATTTCAGATAGTCGGTTTAAGGGATAGATATTATGTATGTCTCGCATTTATCTACAACATACTTAAAATTTGTTGATAACGCTCTTTCGAAAATCGTGCCCCTAAAATAATATATATACTTTCAAAAATAACGTTCATGTGCGTCCCAAAATAACGTGCACCCCATAGTAAGGGTTGTTTATTTATATTAAGATTTAAAAATTGGATTCAGTACAAGTAACCTTCGAATTTCAACAAAAGGTGTTTTTCAGAACATCTTTTGTTAAAGTTCGAAGGAAAGTATATTTAGTATTAAATCTAGTATTTTTGTTTGTTTACTTTTTATATAAGAATTACTTAAATTTTTTAATTGTCTCAAATAACTCATGCGCATACGCACATATCTCAAATAACGCGCAAGTAAGCGTTATTACGCGAAATACGGTATAAATTGGCTCATCTTATTTTTTTATCTTCACCGATTGAAAAATAGCTCGTCAAATTTTTATAAATTTATCTATCGTATTAGTAATATATAAAGAAGTATAGTATGAAAAAAAAAATAGTATCGTAGTGAAACTTTACATTTGGGCATCGTCAATCAAAACGTGTCATAACGTGATTAAAAATTGTTAATAATAATTATTATTAGTATAAAGAGGACTTGTGGGTATATCAAATATTTCGGCATTAATAACATACCGATGATATTTTTGCAATTTAATAATACCGAAATATTTTAATAAAGAGATATATCAAAGTTTTATAGTGTAACGTGCGTAAGATACTTTCGTAATTTTTAAACGATTAAAGGTAAAAATCATAAAATTTGCATTTTACTCATTTCTCTCAACTATCGACCGAATCATTTTTAATTTTTACCAATTAAAAATAACTTAGGTCGACTTTTAATGTGAATGTCAAACTTATCATAATTCAAGTTCGCTAAAAAACTTAAATTTTATACTTTACGTTTAGAAGAAGCAAAATAAAGTTCATCAATATCTTCATATCGTGTTAAATTATAAACATTCAAGCTCATTAAAATTACTTTAATAATATCTTTACATCATTAATTTTACAAAAAAAAGTCTATTTGTTCAAAATTTTTAAATAACTTTCCCAATACATATATATTATATCTACCATAGAGTCGATTATCTATAAAAAAAAGTTATAGAATAAATTATAAGTCTATTAAATAGGTTTTAAATTTTTTTTTCGTTGAATAAAATACATAAATCTGTTAGTTTTTTTTTTAACAATAATAATAATATGATAAAGGTTCGTTAAGTAATCTAAAGAATATATTCGCTAAAAAAAATTATTATTAAGTGGATTATCGACGCAGAACATGTACATCAATTCAAAAAATGAAGTTTTTTTTCGTTTTTATCAAATTAACTTTTCGTAAAATATGATCTAATCTACTTGTTTAACCTAACCCCAACTAAATTAATCAGGACAAGTCACCTTTACGATCGATAAAAAATTGATACAAAGTTGTACACAAATTAGTATAACCGACTTAAATTTTTTTATATATATCATATCTGTATACTATACGCTTTTTTTTAAAAAAAAATTATAAATATATGTATACTATATGTTTTTTTTATTATTCTACGCAACGTTTTTAATATAAGTAACACCGATAAAAAAAGAAAAAAGTGGATTGTATATTTACTCTTGTTTCCCGGCTTGGTTGGCAGTTCTTGAAAGTATAAAAGAATGTGACTGCCACTTACACAGAAGATCACTCTCTATAACATGCTTTTCAAGCATTTCTAGGGAGATATTTCATTATTTCTCAAACCTGGAATAAATTAGTTATTCTATGTTTCATATGACGAAATGATGGTGATTCGTGTTATTACAGCTGTTCTCATAAATTTTGGGACAAACTAAAAAATTGCCGTTTCCCGAAATCTCATCGGTTTCGTCCTAAAGGTCATCTAACTCTTCGGGATCATGTCATTGATTTTGGAACTTCAGTCCGGAGATAATGATGTATTTTCCGGAGAGTTAGATGATTCATAGGACGAAACCGAAGAGATTTCGGGAAACGAACAATTTTTAGTTTGTCCCAGAATTTATGAGAACAGCTGTAACCAACCCTTTTATAACGCCATAGAAAGTTTAATTTATGACAAATCACCAGGCTAAACTTATGTATTCGGATTCCGATTTTCTTGAAATGACCGATTCTTGGCATTCATTCTTCTCGGGGTTAATTAAAGGCTTTAACAGCTGCAGTAGATTCGTAATACACTTTTGTTTTTGATCAGGTTTCCAATTTGGTTTAACTTTCCGTTATTATTGCATCTACAAGTTACTTTTCGGTTGCGTCATTTAAATTCGTTACAACCTGTTTTTCTTGAACGCGTTTATCACCATTTCTGTCAGGTTGTTCGGTAGACAAAGTTATCTGATAATATTCATTTTATGGCATCTTTTATTTAATTGTAAACAAAAGCATTGAGATGTTAAATGTAAACTTATTTCGAGTTCTCTTTTCTTGAGCTCGAATTAGCGTGGCAAACTTAATTAAATTAACTTGGGTATTATAAAAGCAAAAATAAAAGTTAATTGTATTTTTGTGTTTTTAATAATTTTGCATTATTTAAAGCCCAATAATGTATGTACAAGTTTATTTAAACTACGTACGTACGTACGTACATACAATAACAGATAAAAAGCATTGCATCAATTAAATATAAAGCTCTTAAAATAGCTTTGTCGATTTCAATTTGCTCATGTAGTGATAGATCATGTAGATTTGATTTGAGCTTTTTGTTCGCTTGTAATTAATTTTATTTTGAAAGTGATTCCTGCCAATATTCCTTTATATCTTTAGGAACATCAGGACAAATATTTACAAGAGCTTCCATTTCTGCGGGACGCCCACAGCTCCAATACAATTAGCACTACGGTCATTAGTAACATTATTTGTTATTCAATTTTTTCTTTTAGGCGACTTGCATTTTTTCGGTTTAGTGTTCTACGTTTTTTGTTTTTCTAAACACGTATCACTTTGAGATAGTTGATTTGAGATAAATTTGTAGAAACTAGTTCATCGATCATATTAATAAGAACAAGTTCGAAAGAGATAATAAAAATTATTTTGATTTTTATCATAGCGATAGCTTAAATTGATCATACGATTTTTTGATAGCTCAAATTAATCATATTTATTATATTACTGTAATTTTTCGTAAAGTAAATTGGCAACGCTACTCGAATGTAATTAACAAATGTGAAAGTCCGCATAAGCACTATTGACTCGCCTTCTAAATCTTACATTAAATCTATCGACAATTTATCGGCTTGGTCCCATTCAATGAACCGAAGGCAAAATTTTATCTGTCTGAAATCGAATAATCTAATCAAGTGAGTTATCATTTCGATAAATACTGTATTGAGTTACTCCTAATTAGCTAAATTTGAAACCGCAATGCAAATTGTTACGCAATTTTTGAACATCGAACCATGTTGGGGAGCACACATTTATTTTGGACTCGGGATCTTACTTATTTACCTTTAACCCTTACATAGGACCGACAAATAAGATATGTAACGTTAATCTCGTTTTTTTTGAAAACATAAAAATTTGCCTATGCTCTCTAACAAAAATCCCTTAGCGTTCATTATTTTGTTTTGATGAAATTCAAAGCAGACTCAAAAAAGTATAGATTAAAGTTGACTAAAAAGACCGCATTACATATGCTTGTGAAATGATTGCTTTAGAAGAATTGATGATTAATTTATTGGTTCGTTTTTGAACAATGAGATGACAAAATACAACTTTTCATTTTAGCATGCACATGCATTTCTCGCATGTACGTCTTAAGATTATCACATATATTTGCAAGTTTGTCATCTATGTCTACATATTGTATTGTTTAGAGGAACTTCGCTGGTAATTGGTTGGTAAATTTCCTATTATCCGTCTTGTAAAATCTTGTATATCTTTACCAGTGTCGAAATTAATTGTGATCGTTTCTGATAATAATTTCCCGTGATTTTCCTAAAATGGGCGTCAATAAACCCTATAAACCCTTGAAAATTCAAAAAATTCTTTTTTGTCCGTTGATTTCGATAATTTTATCATTTCTATAGGTCCCCATGGCCCTTTTCTTGGCTATGGACCCGATGCAAACTGTTTTTGCGATCAATGTAATAGTTGCCGTATTTCGCTTTACACTTGTAAGGGTGGTAGTTGTAGGGTTAAATGTCCTCCTCATACTAGAAAATGTTCTAAATGTGCCAGTCACAATTATTCGGCTAGGCACAGAATTAATCGAAAGTATTATGCTAGTCAGAAATCTCGTTCAAATTCAAATTATGAGAACTCTATTTCTTTTGAAACTTTAATAAATAAATCACCTGATTCTGTCGTTGATAAGAATTTGCCAGAAATCTGGAATAATGCTTGGTCGGAACAACTTCTGTAAATTCATATTGAGTTTCTAATTTTGTTAAGTGGTACCTGTTAATTTTCTCGAAATATATTTCTGAAGGGATCTCTTGTTCGATTTTTTTAATTTTCGTGTAACCATGGTTAGTCATATGTATTTAAGTTCTATCGCTATATATAAATTATATAAATTAAAAATCAAGTGATAAAAACGCATACCGTATTTTGTCAAACGCATTTTTTATTTTTTGCAATCGATATTATGTGGCTAACACCTACTTCGAATAAACTAAAATTTTGAATTATTTATCTCCCTTACAATTGCAGCTATGTTTTTGACAAACTTCAAGTTTTTTTAAATCCAGTCAGTCTAAATGACATGTCATAGGAATTATCTTTGGCATTGTAAATAATGTGTTTAGTAATTCTTAAAAGGCTAATTCATAACAAGTTTGGAATAAAGTTTTTTAAAAATCTTCACTAAAAACTTGTCAACATTTTGGATGAGAGCGTTTGCAAAACGTAACAGTTAATAATATACAATATAATCGCTTTAATTACACATATTAATGCTCTGCGTTAATTTTAATTTATAACTTATCATTCGTAAATTTAAGAATAAAGCACGTTAGTTCACGATCGGTGAAGATTTATCAAAAAAGTATAAATTTAATATACGTCTTTTGCAAATGTTTCTTTATCACATATTACATAAGGTTTAAGTAAAAAAAAAAATTCTTAAAAAATCATTTATTTATAAATCCACATCGTTTTGTAATAATAAAAATTTTTTTGAATGTTCGATTCGCTTAACGGATTTCCAAATCTTTTATTCCTGATAATATTATTTTTAGCAAACAGATTTGATTTTTTTTCATAAATTTTTCATGATCTTGTCGAGTATCGCATAATCTTATAATGTTTTAGGACGAATTTGTGGAACTTTTTTGAAAGCCCATCGTAATACAAATTTTACATTCCCATATTGCATCTTCGTTTCGACTATCGACTGCGGGCTATAATAGTATTATGTATGAACTTATCTTGACAGTGTGTTCAAATACTTAGTGTGTGTCGCAAATTAGTTTATATAAACTTCAGCTAGACTAGTTGGGTTAATTAAATGAAACTCTTTACTAATATAAAGAGTTTTGAATATATGAGTAATCCAATATTTAAACGGATCTCTTGCAGTATAGATGAGACTATTAATAAAAAGTATTATTAATCAATTGATTTAGAATAGGTAAACCTATATTGCAAGAGATCTATTTAAACATTGAGTTACATAAAAGGTTTGGATTCTTTAATGCGTTCGAACATTCACGATAACGTAAGTTTCCAAAATTCGATTGAAGGATCGAGATCTAGAAATTTGTATTTTTGTGATTCCAAAGTTATTATTGACGATTTTTTAGTGAAAATTTTACTTATTTCATAGATTCGAAAGTTAGATTTTGTTATTACGAAATCACATTCGGTGGAGATTGAGAATAAGTGATCTTTTTGGTCATCGCCGCGATGCCTTTGATCTGACAGATGCTGGGTCAGTAAAAATGGTGTTAGTGGTGTGGATAGGAATGGCGATGTATCCGACAGACCAGGAAGTGACCGCATTAATCCTTATTTGGTGCTTGTAATAACTTAAACAAATAGTTTGATAAATTTTCTTTATAGTCACGAACTAAATTAAAGCGAACAAATGAAATTAAATAGTAAACATCCGTGAACTTTAGCACATTTTAAGCACTTAGATTAATAAATTTCATACTCACCTACAGTAAATTAACGCAACATGAAATAAATTGATAAATTTTCATTATACTGTAATCATGAACTAAATTAAAATGAACAAAAATGAAATATCCATGAATATTTTAAACACTTAGATTAATAAATTTTCATCATACACACCTAAATTAACGCAAAAAAATGAAATTAAATAGTAAATAGTTATGAACCCAAATAGATAAATTTTCTTTACAGTCACACTAAATTAAAGCAAACCAAAAAAAAAAGAAATTAAAGAGTAAATATTCATGAACTTGCGTAGTATATTTTAAACACTTAGATTAATAAATTTTTTCATATTCACCTAAATTAATGCGAACAAAATGAAATTAAATAGTAAATAGCCGTAAATCAGAATAGCATATTTAAACGCGTATATTAACAATCTTTCTTCATAACCGCACACAAAATTAAAGCAAACCAAAGAAATTAAATAATAAATAGTCATGAACTTAAATTACTTTAAGATTTGGATAATAATATCAGGAAATGAAAGTGTCCGTAAATAATAATATCAAGGAAATCAGAAAAGGATTTTTAGAGAAGTGATATGAACCTTATTTACTCATTAAAAGATACTGTAGTAGCATCCATGCGTGCGTACATTCTCAGATATAATTCACCCATGACGTGTAATAATTCTTTAATAATTAGCGAGGCCAATTCGTGATTGCGAGAACTTTGAGATTCTACACTGCAAAAGTGCTAAAATATATTTGAAGGTGAGTATTGGAATTCAGACACCTAAAATCAATTTTTTACGAAGCAAGACTTAACTGTATCTGATACTTCAAGAACTATCGTTTTCCGTTCGAACACAGATGCGTCCACTCCAAGTGTGATTTATGGCATTTGAACCTTAAACAAATGAAATAGTGAATTAATACCTTAACGTAATAAATTTCGCACATCCATTTTTTTTTAGAAAAATGCTTACAAAGTTAAATACAATTGTCTCATATATATCATGATCTAAATATAACTTTATATTCACAACTTGATTAAGTTCATCTGTATTTTGAATTTCAATGACATATTCTAGACCTAATTTTTTTGCTATGCTTTTATAATTCATGGCCAACTCTCGAGTAAGTTTAGCTACATCTGTTCAAAAAACGTGCTTTTAGTTGGCCGAATTCTTTATTTGAAAACTATATATGAAATTAATAATCTTTATATATAAAATTCTTGAAATCAGACACATTTTTAATTTTTAACATTATGACATTATTATTGATCATATAAATATAAATTTACCTGAAGTAAAATGTTGATAGGCTTAAGCAATCGACAGGTATTACATCGTACTATTTGAAGACATAAATTCATCATAAAGTGATGAAAATATTAGTGTTAATGGTGCTAATATAATGGCAAATATATATATATTAATAAGCCTACTATGATTTGTAATCTTTTTATACAACATATTTAAAGAATTTTATGAATTCAATACTTTTCAGTTCGTGACTTACATTTTAGAAAAACATTTCTGATGAGCTAATATTTTTCGTATCACCTTTCTCCTTCTATTGACGTTCCATAATCAAAGTTTATTCACAGAACTTAAACTAACTAACAAGCATAATTCGTTCATTGTTAATTAATAATTAAATATTTTGTATTTGCGTACTTTACAAAATTTCACATACTTATCATCAAGTTTCCACAAATCAATACAGCTGATAAATTTCGTTCATTTCAGAATGTAAGTTTGTGGGTAAGGAAATTGCCTGAAAATCACCTTTTAAAAGAACTTGAATGTGCTTTTCCTCCTTCATTACTGTACAATATGGATGGGCCAACAATCACATCTTAAGTAGATATTGTTTGTTTTGCTTCTATATAAATATAATAGTCCTAATCATTTCAGATGTTTATGGAAAATAATCTGGAATATGTCTTTTTATTTTCTCATGAATAAACTCTTTTTACAGACTTTGTCAAAGGTTGTAGCTGCTAAACGAGCAACCAGAGAATTAAAGCCAGTTTTGGTTCATGATTTTCAATAAGATAAATTAATACATCTGGAATATCTTTGATTTTTCAAAGCTCTCACTACAATTTGGCACGCATTTCCAAGGTTTCGACATCTTAAAAAAATGTAGACATGTTAATAAATATGTCGTGACCTCATTTGATATTTACGATTTACTAATCGGCAGTATGATGTGAAGGTTTGTCAAAAGTTCTTAATCTTCGATAATTTAAGACTTTTTGAGGTAGAAATCATGTCCATATATGCCTTCGCCTGATTTTTTTATCTGGAATACACGTAATTTAAAATCAGGTGACTAATATACAAGATTATGCATATCTCTTGTTGAATTCAAAAAATACGATACTTTCAAAGCACATTCGCTGGCAAATTATTGAAAAAAAATTTAAAAGGCCTATCAATTCGAAAAATTGTAAACCATTCAAGTGCTAGTAGGTCGGGTACTTGTGCATTTTCGAAGATATTGCTGTATTGAAGAACTTCCGTCGCTTTCAAGAAAATCACGTTCTCTAAACATGAACGATATATTTTTGAATCAGGTCCAATTTTTAATATTGATATTGATACAGTATACCGATACGTAATTCTTAATAACTATGATATCTACGTCATAAATTAAATTAAATCGTTGGTCCGATTTCATATCAACATCATATTTACGTAATAAAATTCTTACCAAAACATGCTTAATAAAATTTCCGTAATCAATAGAATTCATAGTACCTTCTTGAATACAATACGATAAAAGACCATTAATACATAATGTACCTTCTATGATGGATCGTCTTCCTCGAACAAGAAATGTATATTTTTGAGCACGCAATCCTGAAAAATTCCAGCCACAGTGTCGTGATAGTGTTCTTCTGTCATAAGCAGTTTCATCTAAAAAACTAACTGTCTTTGTGTATACTGAGACATTCGTAAAATGAAATTGTTTCTATCAACTTAATTTATCTCTTTTGCGAGTTTTGAAATCTATAGAATAAAATAGTAATAAAAAGTTATAAAATAAAATACGTATAAATATATGAAATATTACCTTTTTATGTGTTATCCAAGTCGGTATATATAGCCCAGCCAAAGTTCCATCTCGGATTGTAATTCATGTAAATATCAGTCAGGTTTTTATTTAATAAAATCAACATGTGAATTATAATAAGTCAAATCACTAGAAGTATTCGAATGTTCAATGAATCTTCAATGAATTTATCCGGATATTAATTCAATTTTTTAACCAATATCTGGATATTAAAAAAAAATTAGATCAATAAATATCCAGATGGTTAGTTTTACAGCTGTTCTCATAAATTCAGGAACAACAGATAATAAGTCTTTGACTTCGGAATGATCGATATATAACAGATAATGACATAATATTTATATAATATAACACAGTATTTATATCATCAACGATACTTTATTTCTTTTTGTAATTATTATAAAGGATGGAAGTTGTTGTGCCGTAGATTATCTTACTATAGGTGAGTAAAAATATAAAGAACTCTACAAGAAAGCAATCTTACGACCTTGGCAAATATATACTATATTTATTAATAAACAAATTCATTATCATGAAACAAAATATCTTTGAAAAATATATATATTCTAAATACGAAAACATTATAACTGTATCTATTCAAAGTCTCTGCATGCTGTATAAGTCTATAAAATTTTGACCCAGTAACACTTAATTTACGTATCTCTTTTTTAAAAAACCATAATTGTAAATTCTTGCATTGTCTATTATTTTGCATTAACTTTATAAATTCGCTGTACACATGATTCTGATTATAACGACATAAGCCGACGACAGCTGGTTATATAATCACCTTTTAATACAGTACTTAGTATGAAAGTGCCTCTGGTTAAACTTGCATATAGATAAGATATATTGGGCAATTGAGGAGTTTTGATATAACCAGAGTTATGTGATTTCTAATCTATTCATATTCTTCCGGTGTAGTTATAGTAGTAGTTGAACTCTTTATCTGATTGTGATTTTTTTAATTTAATTTTCGTCCGCACTGCATTATTATTCTGCAATTTGGTAGTGATCTATTCTTTTATCAATATTCGCATTCAGATTTCGATTTCCTTGAAGTGATCGATTCTTGAGATTCATCCTTCTCGGAGTTAATTAAGCAGTAAAAGCTTTAGTTTCGGAGCTAAATAAGTAGTAAAGCTTTTACAGCAGCAATTGATTCGTCAGCTAAAATCGCCAAGTAATTTCACTTTTTGGCACCTTTTAGTGAAATTGTGTTCGCAAATGGTGTTGTTCATGTAATCTGTATTTTAGAAATTCTGAAGTTAAAATTTCCAAATACTTCAAATGATGATATTAATATACAGATAATTATATTGTAGTACTGAATAGTGAGTATGTTTATGTAAGCCTATTTCGTGTTGCTTTCTCTTCTTACATTCAAATGTAATTAAAAAATGTATCTTATTCTGAGGAAAGTCCGTTTAAACAATATGGGTAGATTGAAGAAGAGTTAACTCAGTGATCATCACAACATCACATGACAAGTGTTCGGCCTAAGTTAGGGTTAGAGTTAGGGTATATTAGGCCAGTTTGTTTTAATTCTGGTAAACAAATTATGCTTATCATGTGATCGTCGATCACTGAGTTAACTGTTCTTCAAGTGTCCCAACAATATAACTCACCTTTACAATAATTCTATTGATTCCTACGCTTTCCCGAAAGCCACTTCACCAACAATTTACCATTTGGTTAGGTTCGACTCCAAAAGTCGAAATTTTCAAGTCCTCATTCAGTGAACCGACGGCAAATTTTATTTAACACAAGTACTTAGGGACTGTGTAAGTTCACGTGATGTTATTAAATCCATCTACCTAACTATATATCAGATATCGCGAAATCTACGGACAGTGCTTATAGCAGTGTAGTCACGTTATATTGTCAAGAGAAAAATAAAAGTTTTTGAAATTTTAAATCAAAATATCTTGGCAACCACCTGAGCAAATTTGACGATTTTTTTTTTATTTGAATTTCATGAACCCATAGAATTCTAACAAAAAAAAAAAAAAAAAATTCATCGAACTTAGACCGGTAGTTACGGAGATATCTTAGTTCAAAGTTAGAAAAAACAAACCGCCTATCAAAATAGAAGCTACGCAATTTTTTAAAAAATTTGAGCTAAGATATCTACACAGCTACCTAACCAAATTCGATAAAATTTTTTTATTTGAATTATATGAATTTATAGGATTCAAATAAAATAAAAAAATTCATCGAGTTTGGTTAGGTGGTTGTGGAGATATCTTTGCTCAAAATCAAAACAAGCTACGTCAATTTTTAGAAAATTTGAGTGACACAACCACTTAACCGAATCTGATGAATTTTTTATTCAAATTCTATTGATCAAAAAAGAATTCAAATAAAAAATTTTCATCGAAATTAGTTGGGAGGTTATGGAGTTAATTTTATAGCATTTATTTTGATAGCATTTGATTTTTCTCTAACCCTGAGTGAATATATCTCCACAAACGCCTGACCAAACTTGATAAAAATTTTTATTTTAATTCTAAGTCTATAGAATTCAAATAAAAAAGTTTATCGAATTTGATCAGGTGATTGTGGAAATATCTTCGCTCAAATTTTTATTGCTTCTATTTTGATAGTCGTTTGATTTTTCTTAACTTTGAGTGAAGATATCTCCATAATCACCTGACCAAACTCGGTAAAATTTTTATTTGAATTCTATGAATTCATAGAATTCAAACAAAAATTTCCATCAAATTTGGTCAGGTATCTTCGCTCAAATTTAAAAATTGACAGCTTTCATTTTGAGACGTTTTGAATTTTCTAATTTAGAGCGAAGATATCTTTATAATCGCCCGATCAAATTCGATAAACTTTTTATTGCTTCATAGAATTCGAATAAAAAAAATTTCGTTGGATTTGGTCGGGTAGTTATCGAGATATTTTGGTTTAAAGTTTTGAAAACTTTTATTTTTCTCTTCTTAATATCACGTGATTATGCTGTCCCCAAGCACCAGGGACAGTCAAATATTATTTCAGATATTTTGATTATTTTTTGTAAATATTTCACAAATTTCAATTATTTAAAGAAGTTTAATATGCTTCACACCCCTGCGTTAAGGTTATATATCACACCTTAATATGATTGGCTAATTTTGCAGATCATTATTTATAAAAAGGATTGTTAATCTTAGCAGGTTGTGATATCACAATTGTGACATCGCACCCAATTTAGAAATTTGTTAATTTACATAGCAGGTTGCGATGTCACAATTGCAACATTGCAGATCAATATAAATTTATTAACTAAAAAAAAATTTTTTTTCTGAATATCTTATCGGGAAATTAGCAATAGCCAATTTTAGTAAAAAACATACACAAAAAGATTGTTTGCATAAATCAAAAATAAATTCATTGGCAACATCTTAAATATTACATTAGAATTGTTTATCCACCTTTATAGTAAATTGTTCTTATATTTAAAGTTGCAGTCCAAATCGTTTTAAAGTTACTGTAACAAATTTGATTCACACACTACCAAGTCATTACAAGTATCCTCTTGGTAATGTCAAATAACATCTCAGGGTCTTCATCTTTGGAACCATATCTTCACACTTATAATAAAAGACAAGAAGGTACAGTAAATTAATACATGTACTACAAAATAAAATGAAAAAAGAAAGGATAAGCGCAATAGTCAGAATTCTTGTATATTAACTGCTTATTTCTTTTTAGAATTCATAACATCAGCTGACTTTTCTTTTATGAACTTCAATGTTGATGATCTGAATATCGATGATTATTTTGACTTCTATAATAAAGCTCTCGCCAATCTTTTTAACAATAATCAGGCAATTAATGAATTCACACAATTAATACAAAAGTAGCATAGTATTAACTAGAAAGTTATGCAATATGAGCACCAAAGTGATGAGGAATATGAATATAGTAATGAAAATAATGACTCTGTAATTCAATTTGGTGCTACTTTTCCTAATTGGAATTTTCTAGAAAATGCATTAAAAAGGTATAAGTTGGAGGTTGGAACATAATAATAATAAAACAATAATTCGCCGATACTTTGTCTACAAGAATTCTAAAGAACATCAACCTAAAAAAAATTAAATAATTTAGATAACAGAGAAAGAGAATCTAAAAAAATTAGATATCAGTGGCAGCTTAATGTAGGATATCAAAAAACCTCTGGTAAAATAGTCATTAATAAGCTTGTAAAAGAATATAATTATTCTCTTGCACTATATTGAAAAGAGTTTGCTTCAAGTCTACGTTTATTTTCACAAAAAGCTCTTAATGATATAAAATTTTTGACTTAGGAATGTAATCTTGGAGCAAAGGCCCAATGTAGATACATTTCAAAGAAATTTTCTAATCAACCTCTGTATGATTGTGATCTATATAATTCTATATATTAATATAAAAGTCAAATGAGTAATTAATATGAAAATAACATAGCAGATATGGTTAAGTGACTAATGAAGCAACAAGAGCAAGAGCCAGGATGGGCAATTTATATTGAATTTGAGGGAGTTGATAACAATCTTTCATGGCTTTTTTGGATATTACTAATGCAAGTAGAATTATGGAAGCGATATCATAACAAAGTTGTAAATGACAATACTGCAAAAACTAATGTATATAATATGCTATTAAATCTTTTCATAATAGTTAACAATCATTATCAAACAAGGCTTATAGTACAATCTCTTGTTCAGAATGAGACTATTAGTTCATATAGGTGGATATTAGATTTGTATTGAAAGCAACTAATAATTTACCCCAAAAGTAATTTATACTGATGCTGACCCTGCTATGATTTCTGCTATTAGTCAAGTCTTTCCTACCACCAAACATAATCACTGTATATTCCATATTCAGACAAATATTGCAAAAAAATTGTCTTGTAAGTATGGTAATTCTTACAATGATTTTTTGCAAAGTTGGTTTCAATGCTGTAACAGTCATAGTGAAGCAGAATTGGAGCATCATTAGGAAGAATTGTTGATTAAGTATCCTGCAGATAAAAGTTATTTATAACAACTTTGGAAATCCCAACAGTTATGGGCCAAAATTTATATATTTGCAACTTTTTGTACTGAAATGCAAAGCACGCAATGGGTAGAATACACAAATAGACTTATTAAAACTGAGGTTGGTGCAAAAATAACATTGCTTAATTTAGGCAAAGCAATTCAAATGAAGCTTGAATGTGAAGTGCAACACTAGCAACTTTCAGAATATAAAAATACATTGCCAACTTGAGGACTTCCAAGCATTCAAAGTGTGTTTTTTGAACCAGTTCAAAATGCAATAAAAATTATTTAACATTGAAATCCACCTCAATTCAAAATATCCAAATATTACAAAGCATTCTATATTATACATGTTTATTTAAATTAACTTCAGTATAGCTTTGCAAAATTTTATTATTAACAAGTGTGTTCTTAATTGAGCTAATATCTTTTGTTTAGTTTCCTGATACTCATGAATATATGAATGGATATCTTGAGGATGAATATGACGCATTACAAGCTTCACTTGAAAACCTTATGAATATAGTTAATCATGAAAATATTCTTGAAATTTGAAAAGTTTCTTTATTTGATCGCTATAACTATAGTAAAAAAAAGCAAAATGTGTACTTAAAAAAGCATGTACATTTATGAAGAACAAAATATATAGTGCTCTTATAATTTGGGCTAAACAATGTCATACATTTAGAAAGAATTTACATATGATATGCACTTATAAAGTATGCACTTCAGGAGGTCTTACTGTATATAGTCATTTATAAAAAAATAATGTATCTGCAAATTCTTGCTTTTGATCAGACATACACAATTTATCTGAGATATATATTGTGTAATTTTTGCAATCAACTATCAACTGTTTAGTAATAGCAGAAACTAATATGCAAAACACTCAGCATAGTAATTTGAAAGTGTAATAAATAATTTTTTATATATATATTGATATTATAGTAAAACCTCTATAAGTGTATACACTTGGGACCAAGCTTTAACAATGTGCACTTAGAGATTAATAAGAGAAAGTGCATTTATAGGAGCATGAATATATTTGGGTCAAAACTTGATAAAGAGAGTATGCACTTATAGAGAGTGCACTTATGGAGGTTTTACTATATATAGAATTATGTTTATTAAATAGTATTAAATTTTTATATTTTTAAATTAGTTAAATATTATAAATTATTTATAATAATTTACTAAAAATTTTAATAATAAACTATTTAAATTTAAATAAATCTTTAATTTAAAAAATTATATATAAATATATCTATATGTAACTTACATTTGCTAGATGTAAGTTATAGTGTAACCTACATTATAACTTACAATATAACTTATATTTGCCCAACCCTAATGGCTAGTGATGTAAATAAACAAATGAATCAACTAATTTCTATTCGTGGGTCTGATACATATCAAGCTAGTATTCATACTAGCATTACACAAAAACAAGAATATATATATAGTTTTGGTGTAGCTAAAAGCAAGCTAAAATTTGCCCTTGCTAATGGATTAGTTGATGAATTTGTGGAATTAATAGAGGAATTTATTGAAAATAATACTGGTGTTGATATTAATAAGCGAATGACAATTAATGTTACTAGGATTAAAAACCTGAAAAAATTGAAGCACAAAGAATGTCCAAAAATTCTAAAACCTATACCAAGTATTCAAGATCTAAATACAGAACAATTAAATGAAAAACAAAATATTGAAAAAAGTTCAAAAAACATAATGAAGTGGATAGAAAAAATTCTATACAAAGAACAGAAACTTGTTACTGTGGCAATTGTTATAAAACTGGACACTATTCTACTACATGTCAATTTTCTAAAGACTATTTTAGATAAAATTTTTGTGTAAAATCTAAAAATTTTTATGGTTCATAGTCTCTTTTCAACTAATAAAACTGACTTGTTAAAAATTGCTATATAAATCAATTATAATAATTTTTGTTGTAACTAATTACATAAATTTTTCAATTTTTGACCTTGAATAATACTTTGTAAAATAGTTTAAAAAAATTGATTGTGAAAAATATATATCATTTATATAGGAAAATCTAAAAGTTTTTTAGTTCTTAATAAAAATCATACAAGTTCTAGATTGCAACTATAACTTAGCGTATTAAACTGTTAAAAATTCAACTAAGTGCTTGTCATGTGACAACAGCAGGGTGCAGTTATGAAGAAAGATTGTTAATATACGCGTTTAAATATGCTATTCTGATTTACGGCTATTTACTATTTAATTTCATT